TCCTTCAAAACTCACCCTTCAGGAACAAATCTCTCTCATCTTCTTATGGTGGTATAATTACGTGTCTGTCCTACCCCTAGACTGTGAGCTTGAGAAGCGGTATCATGTGGGGACTAAGAGCATACACTCTGGAGCCCTACTACCTGGTTCAAATCCCAGCTCTGCCACTTCTTAGCTGTATGAGAGTAGCAAACTACTTAACCTCCACACTTCAGTTTTTTCATCTATAAAGGGAGATAACAACAGTGCATACCTTTCAGGGTCTTTGTGAGGATTAAATGAATTACTGCATCTTACATGTAAAGTGCTTAGTGCTTGGTACATAGTAGTTGCCATAAAGTAGTATATCTTTTATCTTTGTGTCCTCAAGCACCTGGCCCTCTGCTACAATAGTTGACTCATTAAAAGTTTGTTAAATAAATAATTGGAACACATCTATTCTGACTTCTGACTTTCACAATAGCCCCAAGACTTTAGCAGGTAAGAATGCAGATTCCAGAGGTGTTTAATGACTCCCTACCCCCATTCCCTGGCCCCACAGCCACTTCGTCTCTTGTCTGTGCACTTCAGGGCTGCTTCTGCAGTGGTTCCAGGGTATCTCCCCTCACCTGTCACATCTCCCTGAAGACGTCGGGCCTGGGCTCGGTTGTTGTAGGCTGAGGCCCTCTCAGGCAGCAGGTTGATGGCTTGGCCAAACCTCTCCAAGGCTGTGCTGAGGTCACCAGCCTCTGCTGCTGTCACCCCCTGCAGTTCCAGGGCCTTGGACTGGTTCAGCTGTTCTCGAGGGAAAACTTCATCTGTGTCAGGGAGGTAGCCAGGAGGGGACAGGTATGTGGTTGGGAGCAAGAATCAAAGGCCATCTCAGGCTTTGGAAACCTGGCACCTGAGCCAGAACTGACTAGGCTGAGATGTGGGTCACAGCAGTTGTCAGATGCAGTATTTGGGGCAGAGGGAGCTGAGGTCACCAAGGCTGAGAGCTAGCAATGCCTGAGTCCCAGAGGGACCTTGGTTGACTCCCCATTGTCAGGAGAATAAAGCTCAAACTCTTTAGCCTGTAGTTAAAAGACTTGTTCAAGGTCACACAGCCTATGAGTTGCACAGCTTGGATTTGAATCCAGGACTTCCTGGCTCCTTAGCCTGTCCTCACATTGCCTCCAACAGAAAGATCACCATGATATATTCCCAAGTCATGAAAATCACTTCTCATGTATCCCTCAGCTTTTCAGCCTGAAGTCTCAGTAAAGCTTAGGTCTTACTCCTTTAGAAACAAAGGGCACCAAAAACTTCTGGTGGGGACATCAGTCTCTGTTCTCCATTAGCACCCGATGGAAAAGCCAAGGAGTGCACTCACTGTGAAAGGATCAGCTCAGTGCTTGGCATATATGGTATGTAACACTGAATGCTTGCTTAGATTGGAACTATTCAGCTGAGCTGTGCCTTGCTCTGTTCCTGCCCTCCATTCTCTGGGGAGTGATAAACTCTGTTATGACAAAGATGTGAGAGTTTAATATTGCCCTCCTCCTGCTGTAACAGTTAAGCTTGGAGCTTGGGGAGAATTAAGTGGTTAAGTTCAGAGGTGTGAGGGCTGAGGACTGAGACAAACTCTGGCTTTCTCCACTCGGTGTGACTTTGCCAACCTCCTGTCATTGCACTAAGGATCAGCCAGCCTCTCAGCTTCCAGTCTCAATCATCACCCAACAGTCATGGAACAAACAAGGGACCTTGTAAAACCACCTCCCTCTATCACCCCAGGGAGGTCTGCGGACCAGCCAGTGTGGAGAGCTGTACTTCAAGGTCAAATACTTACTTTCATCTACTTGTTCCTTCTCAGCTTCCTCTCCCAGGTCCAACCCAACAACATCTCCAAAAGGGGTGTCAGGGTTGAAGATGGCTTGTAACACTGCCCGATCATTTAGAGTCCCCATGGTGCTCAACTCAGGATGAGAGAGAGAGAAAGAAGGGGGTGGAGGCTTAGCCTCACAGTCAGTTGATCTAGAGGGAGGTTCTGTTTGAGGACTGTCCCCCATGAGGAGTGTTCCATTCTTTTGGCTGTAGTATAAACTCAACCTCCCTTTGGCCTGGGGTTAGTGATCCTGGCTTGCAGAACATTTACAGGCATTTCTTAACTGCCTCTCCACCCCACCCCAGGCCTATGAGAAACAGTAAATAAATCCAATTTCAGCCTTAAGGTGGAGTGAAGAGAGGGTGCTTTTCAGGTTCTCCCTGAAATGCTTTTATTTTATTATATTCATAGATTGGAAGAAAATCACTAGAAGCCACTACTTTCAACACCTACGGATGAAGGAGAGGGGGATACGAAGGTGATAAAGGAACTCTTCCTTTGCCTTCTTGACACCTTCCTCATACCCAGAATTAATTAGGTCCTGAACGAAGTTATTGATGTGTAAGGGAAGAAAATATGGTAAGACAGCCAGGATGCAGTAGCCCCTGAAAGAAGGGAAGGAGGAATGATTCAATGATTCCACCTTAAAATAAAGGACTGTGGAAGGTACTTTCTAATTGGATTATAGGCCATACTTCACCTCCATTTCTCACCCCAGCCAGTCAAAAGAAAGCTCCACCATGTGCAGCAATGATCTTGACATGTTTATTAATTAAACTATCACTTAAAAATGCATATACAGTAAACATGTTCAAAAACGTCATTTTTTATAATTTTTAATAAAATTTTAATTAGTTTCAAGTATACAGTACATTGGTTAGACATCTATATAGTTCCTAAAATGATCCCTCCAATTGCTCCCTCCCTCCCCTGACCCTCCACGTAGCCAATGTATTAATGCTAACTGCATTCCCTATGTTGTGCTCCCCATCCCTGTGACCACCCATCAGCTACTAATTTGTACTTCTTTAATCCTTCACCCCATTCTCCCAGCCCCCCAAGCCCCCCTCCCCTCTATCTGACACCAAATTGTCCACTATATTCATGAATCTTTTTTTGATTAGTTTGTTCTTTTGATTCCTTAAATTCCACATATAAGTGAAATCATATAGTATTTATCTTTCTTGGTCTGACTTAAATACCTTCTAGGTCCATCAAAGCAATATCTTTTTCCATCCCCTTCCTTTTTATATGTAGGAGTCTTGTTCTCTTATTCTTTCAGCCACTCTACCTTTTGGTTGGCACACTTAATTCTTTTCCATTTAAGGTACTTATTGATAGGAATGTAGTTTTTACCATTCTTTATTCCTGTTTTTGATACATATTTTTTCTTCTCAAAGAAGTCCCTACAACATTTCCTGTAATACTGGCTTGGTGATGATAAATTCCTTTAGCTTATTTTTGTCTGGGAAGCTCTTTTTCTGTCCTTCCACTCTAAATAATAGCTTTGCTGAATAACGTAATCTTGTTTGTAGATCCTGGATTTTCATCACTTTGAAATATTTTGTGCCAAGCCCTTCTGTCCAGCAAAGTTTCTTTTGAGAAATCAACTTCCAGGCTTACGGGTGCTCCCTTGTAGGTAACTAACTGCTTTTTTCTTGCTGCTTTTAAGATTCTCTCTTTGTATTTAACCTTTGGCATTTTGATGATGATGTGTGTGTGTGTG